GTTGAGATATTTTATTTTAAAGTTTTAAAAAAATTTACTTAGAAACAATTTGCTTGGTTTCTACTGGCAGCCCCCCATATATACGGGCTCATTTCTATTGACTCACTCCCATAATTAAAGTTTAATGTTTTAAGAGTGTAAATTTGGAAATTAAAACCTATATATAATATAATATTAAATCTCTAATTAAGTAGTTATCCAAAAGTTTTATACTAATTATTAAGAATTTTTTTATATAAACTGCATTTCTTAAATTACGATAAGAATTAGAATTATTGTGAAAGAATTGACATTTCATAAGATATGTTAAAAACGGACAATTTTCTTTACGCTATTCCTGTTCGTGTTACATTACGCTTAACCATAATTGAATCGTTGGTCAATTATCACATCAAGCTCTGATACTATGTATTCTAATTTGGACTAGATGCTGGAAAAAAGAGCCCAAATTGACAATTTTCAAAAGAAATTTTTTTACATAAAAATTTAGAATAAGATTAGGATTATTTAAACACAAAAATAGTTGTATTAATAAAATTTTGCAGTATAGCTCTTTAAAGTTTACATTTTCTTATGATTTATTTTAAAATTTATAACATAAAAATTGATTTTTCGAAGATTTTTTTTGTCATTTGGGCCTTTTTCTCAGCATCTAGCCCATTTATTTACTTATCACGTCCACCAGCCAAATACATCACTTTTGCGTCATTTCTACGACGCGTCAAAATATTTTTTAATGTTTTGGCCAATTCTTCTGTTGGGCCTGTGATAATGATTTTATCGTTGATTTCATAATGAAATTTTAATTGGGCCCGAATATGGGAAGGTGACAGGAATTGTACACGTGAAGGATCTTCTAACATTCCGTGTTTGCGTTCAATGCAATAAATTTCATTGCGTCGATTAAGATAATTACGACATTCCTTAGGAATAGTGATTTGTGAGAGCTTGGAACTTTTCGTCATAGAGACATACTTTCGAATCCCATCCATTGTCATTGAAGTACCGTCTAAGAAAATCATCTCAACATTTTCTAAGAAAATAAGGTTACAAGCTGCATCGTCATCAATTTCTTTGTTTCCTGTGAAATCAATCTTTCGTAGAGACTTCTTGAGCGCCACAATGTAAGCAACGGCTTCATTTCCAATGCCAGTGTAATCAAGGAATAACTCGCTCAACATCTTAAGACCACGTAAATTAACAATGTCGGTATTTCTAATAGGAATAGAACTCAATCTCAACGATGTCAGTTGATGAAAACTATTTGGCAATGCAAATACAGCCAATAATTGTCCAGAAATCAACATATGTCGATTTAGAACTTGCTTATCGGTTGGCTTGAAACTATTTTCTGAAATAAACTTGTCTGAGACCTCTTTTTTCATCGCTTCAAAAGTATAAGTCAAGTCTAACCATACGACTGCTTCCGTAGCACGAAAATCCCGAAGGATAGCAGGAATCAAATAACCTAAATATAAATCAAGTTAGTTCATGTATATATTTTGAATATTAATAATTACTAACCTGAATCTTCAAGCCACTCAAAAATTTGAGACACTGTAGGCTGAGAACCATCACAAGTTCCTTTAAATTCTTTGAGTATATCAGGACCACAATTTCTACTAATGCGACTCAGCAATTTGTTGATTGATTTTTGATCGCCATCAGTATAAACGGGTCCGTGTAAGTCATTCTTGTACCTTAAAGCAACATCTTTTACCAAAAATTTATGTTAGTAATCTCGTTTCAACTATAAATTTAGGAAATGCATTTATTATCCTTACATTTTGTGGTGTCAAGATCTCTCAAAATTTTTCCGGATCGTTCAACCTGGTTTTTCAATTCCCTTTCTAAGTCTGCTATCCTTTGTTTAAGCATATCTACCCCAACTCCAATACCTAAAGCGTTCTTGTACTTTTTATTAGGAACATCATCGACGACAAAGTAGCCTGTTTGAGAACAATCAGAAGTGGCAATTTTCGATTCTTTAAGAATATTTGATGAATCTCTATGTATATTTGTTGGTTCAACTCCATATATATTGGCTGTATCAGTTCCAAACACATTTGTTGAATCCTCTTCAAATATATTGGTTGAATCCGCCCCAAATATATTGGTTGAATCCGCCCCAAATATATTGGTTGAATTCTCCCTATACATGGTTACATTGGGCGTTATATTTTCTTTGTTAAAGTTTCCGGGTGTTAAATTTTCCTTATTTGAAAATGGTGTTCTGACTCTGCATGGAGTTCGAATTCTTGAAGGCGTCTTATTCGGAGGTGTGGCATCAGGAGCCAGTGACGCAATGAAAGTATGTTTCGCTCGCATTATTATGATAAGGCGTAAATAAAAAAATAATAATAAAATGACTTGAGACTGACGATCGTAAATAAACATTTGGATCTTTTTATTGCATCGGTCGCGGATTCGGATAACCAATCAGATGCATTAATCTGATTTCATGATCATCCGCGACAAATACTGAAATAAACAAGATTTAAGCCACAAAATCGGCTGAGCCAGCCGACTAGCATAGCAGACAATCTCTATGATTGGTCAATTTTTGTAGATCTACCCGTGATTTCCCGTGATTATAACCAATCAAATTACATAATTTAAAACGTTTATCGTTTTAATATTACAGTACTAGAAAATGAAAGAAAGCTTCGCTTGAAGAAGTTTACAAACCAATAAATAAATGAAAAAAAATTTATTACATAATTTAGAGAATAGATAGATGCATGTAAAGTAGTATATGTGATATTTATTATTAATAAAC